CGGCAATAGGCTATGAAGCCTACGACTACGAAGTCGGTCTAACACAACTACGAAGTTGTGCGCCTCGAGTGGAATCTCGGCAATAGGCTATGAAGCCTACGACTACGAAGTCGATCTCACACAACTACGAAGTTGTGCGCCTCGAGTGGAATCTCGGCAAAAGGCTATGAAGCCTGCGACTACGAAGTCGAATTAACACAGCTACGAAGTTGGGTGCCTCGAACGGAATCTAGGCTAAGCTACGGAACTTGTAATCATCAAACCTATAACTACGATCAGCTATGAAGCTGCTAATATCATTGCTCGTCTTCGACCAGCTCGCAAGCCGGGTTGGGAGAAGACGAGTTGAAAAACTTTATGGTTTATCAGCTATGAAGCTGCTAAAATTATTGCTCGTCTTCGACCAGCTCGCAAGCCGGGTTGGGAGAAGACGAGTTGAAAAACTCTATTGTCTATCAGCTATGAAGCTGCTAATATCATTGCTCGTCTTCGACCAGCTCGCAAGCCGGGTTGGGAGAAGACGAGTCGGAAAACTTTATGGTTTATCAGCTATGAAGCTGCTAAAATCATTGCTCGTCTTCGACCAGCTCGCAAGCCGGGTTGGGAGAAGACGAGTTGAAAAGCTCTATTGTTTATCAGCTATGAAGCTGCTAATATCATTGCTCGTCTTTGACCAGCTCGCAAGCCGGGTTGGGAGAAGACGAGTTGGAAAAAACTTTGTTTACCAGCTATGGAGCTGTTAAAAACATTGCTCGACTTTGACCAGCTCACAAAAGGGGTGGGGAGGAGATATAGCACGGCGTAAAGAAAAAGCTTGTGTGAAATATTCAAGAGCTCACAATAACAAACACAAAAAGGAAACCGAAAAATCGATAAAATACAGACAAATGACAAAAAAAAGAGGATAGCATTATAATTAAAAGACGTTCAAATACACCCGAAAGCCACTTCGATCTTTACAACCCGGGAAAATAGATCGAGTATGGCAACAAAAAAATAACAAGCTTCAAAGCAAACAAACATTTAGTT